ACTGAGTGAAGCTTAATGGGACTAACATCCATCTCAATTAATGATGAATCCAAACTTTCCCTCTTAGAGTCAAAAGAATAGTCACACTCAAAATCAGATTGTGTAGTATCATCTTTCTCTTCTGAAGAAAAATGTTTTCCTTTTTCTGACAAGCGTTGATGCTAAAACGACACAAAGGGCATAACTTTTGTCCAGATACGATGTGTTTGTTAGCATTAGTTGCCAGTTCCGGACATATTTTCCTCAAGGAAGACTTCACAGCTTTCTTGTGCTTCTTAAATGGATTGCAGCACTTCCTTTGAAGTTGAACATCCATCAGTAATAGTTTTTGTTCATGATGTAAACATATTGTTTGATCATCATTAAATGTAATGCCTGTTTTCCAATATATTACCTCAATTTGCTCAGCATCAAAACTGTGAACAGATTTCAGTCCAGTAGCTCTTGTATAGTCTGGTGAATGGTAATTATCTGAAAGAATCCTACCAATTGTACAGTCCTCGTAAGAGCAGATTTTCAAGTTTAGAATAAGAAGTTAAACTACCAAGTAAAGATATGTTTTTTAAATATACATCATACTTTGCATCCTTTCTCAAGGCTTACAATATCACGTACTGAATGAAATTTTTGCCAAAGGGTTGCAAATGTCTCCTGAATCAACTGTAATATGCCTCGAGGGCACCATTGAGTTTTGTCAAGATGAATAATATGTTGTAAAAGACAAGAAAGGCAAATAAACATTAAAAATTAACTATATGTGAAAAGGAAAAAGATAAAATGATGAATTTAAGAAAAGGAAACTCTTTAAAGATATTCTACCAAAAAATTAAAAGGTATGTATTTTCTTTTCTATTTCCTAGTTTTAATTATTTCATCACAATTGTACATTGATAATAGTAATATGTTAGAGAAAATTGAAAAACAAAAATAAAACTTTACCTTAAAAACTTTTGATATCTTTTTAGGAGGTTCTAGAGATTATGCAAATGAAATATGAAACTATATGATGATATAACTATATCACATTGCACTCGATTTGCTAATAATTTAAATGCATGTAATTACAATAGAAAAATAATATTTTTAGTAAAAACAACTATAAAACCATCATTATTTATGTACAAGATACTTATGATCTTTAACGAAATCTTATCAGTTTTTTGAGAAAATATGTTAAGAAATCTCAAAATTACCGCATGTATTGTTGTACAAGTGAAATTCGCTACTTGATTTCTGCAAATTCCATGAGCCCACTGCAAAAAGGTTATAAAGAGTGCATGGTAGTTAAAAGGTTAATAAAATATCCATAATTTCATTAATAAACAAAACAGTTTTCTTACCTGTACTTGCAAAGTACTTGTGCTCTGAGATGCCTGTGAAGGATGTACTGGTGCTGGAGCATGACTCAGAAGAGGTGGCTGCTGCCCAAAAACTACAAGAAATACAATGGTCAACATATAAGATACTGATGTGATTGTGTATAAACTGTTTTACACGATACATAGTTTGTTCAAATACCTTGTAATAATGAAATAGATCAGGAAATCCAAAAAAGTTCTAAAATTTCTGGTTTAAGATTTTTAGCAAATTCAAAACAAGATAACATATCTTGTGGTTCATACTTTTAATAAACCAAAACCTACAGCAAACTGCAACACATCTTGTGGCTTATACAACTTTTAGTACACCCAAACCCACAGCAACATATTTCTTTAGACTTCAATATCAGTATAGCAGTTTCTATTTTTCTTTTTATTTAGGGGCTTCTACTCATCTGTAAAAGCTTCCCAAGTGAATTTAATTAGATAAGTAAACATTCTAATTCTGGATGCCAAACTTAATTTTGGCATCTATTTAACATACACGTTTAATCATTTTTTGTTTTCAAATACTTAATTACCCCCACTTAAATTTTTCCCATTAATAAAGGCTGTGAAGAAACTGAAATGCAGGCATTTTATGTTTTTTTTCTACCTGCTTTATTGATATAGGAAATTTAAAGAATTGTCTATTTAGTTTCCATGCTGTAATGACAGCAACACATGGTCCAGAAAATCACTGAGATTACCTTTTCTAGGTGCTTTGTTTCTTTGATCTCTATGATAGATGTCTATTCTCCCCATAAAGATGATGATGCAGTAACATATAGCATATAGGTTCAAAGGATTAGTACTGTAATAACTTTTGCTGGCTGAGTTGAAGTTGTCTAACAATACAGTTTACTAATACTGTGAGAGAATGAAGGTTACAAGGTGACACATCAACTGGACAAAGAAAGTGAGTTTACCTGTTCAATTCAGACCCACTTTCTCGAATCAGTTTTACTAAGAGATCGTCAAGCGAGGACACTTTAAAATTATCATGTTTTAGCTCTACAGAGATTAATCCTGATGAAAATAAAGCTGTGCAGCTAAATACACTCCAGTAGAACTGAATGTGATTCTACTTGCTTTGTTTATTTTAATAGTTTGTTCATTTATTCACATTTGTTTAGTCTTGTTATTTTAAACGTTCAGAAACTGAACCAAGTTATTAAATACAGAACACTCCCTTATTTCTTGATCATATCTGATGTTATCAGTGGGATTATTTATCTGATACTTTTCGGGAAATCAGTCTTACCTGAAAATACTACAAACAATGAAGAAAAATTTTCTAATTTCATTTGATTTAGATTTGAATCCATAAATTCAATGTTATGGATTTTTTTTTCTTTTAATTTTATCAATACTAGATTCTTTTCCCATTAGATTTCATTTTCAGGTTAAGCAATATTTTGTTAATTTATTGCCCTCCAATCATTAAACAAGGAAATGTAAGAGCTAATAGTAGAATTATTAGGGAAGTTTTATAAAAAGTTGTCTTTAATGCAAAATAAACGATTTAAATTGTATTAAAGATATTTAATACTTTTTAATTGTGAATTGTTTTTATTTAAAGGAGTACAAGTTTAAGACACTTCAGGCTCATCATGAAGCAATTTTATTTTTAAAACACAATCTTAAAAGAACCTATACGAATTAAACACCATACCAAGAGGAGATGGAATGCGACCTTGTCCTGTCTGTAATGAAGGAGACTGACGTGGACTTCGTCCGTTGGGCACTCCAAGGCTCTGAAGATTAGACCCACGAGGCTGTTGTTGCTGAGGCAGAGGAGGACATTTTTGTAAACTGGACAAAAACTCTCTCTGTTGTCTGTGGTCAATCATGGCTGGCAAAATAGTGTTATGAACCCAAAACTGAATATTTTATTACCTCTGGAACATGTCGCTTTTATGATTTTTTTCCCCAAAGAGATTGTTTAAAATGTGCTTTTCCAAAATCTATAAATAAGTTTTTAACTATGAGGAAAGTATTTCCTGAATTATAAGCAAAATCCATGTAACTAGTTAGATAAACTATCATATCTATAAAATAAACTTAATGTAATGTTAAATACTAACTACATACAACAGATTAAATACTCCCAAAGTAATATTTATACAACAACAACAATGAAACTACTTTTACAGATGGAAATACTAGCTAGAATACAGCCCAAGTGACTTAAATCAACTTCTTATTCATAGCTTCACCATATTATTGTATAGTCAGTATTCAACTATGTAATCATGAAATAATGTAATGAGTAATTCCTTTGTTAAAGGTGTTGAATGTTTGTATAATCCATTGAATGGAGCTTGTAATAACACTTCCTGAAGTGAGCTAATGAATGAATCAGGATACAACATTTACTCAAATTTCCTTCTATTGATATAACAACAGTTGTCTTTGACATGTTTGCATACAATTTATCTATGAATGCATTTAGTCACTCCTTTCATCAATTTTCTCACCTAATTCAATATTTCACAAGACCAACCAATGCTTGTCTTTAACATAAATAGGGTCAACTGTTCATTCATTATATTTATAACTAATTCATACTTAACTAAAATATAATAGTAAGACCTAAGTACAATTTAAATTGTACCTCTAACTATAACATATTTAGATAAGAAACAACCAATTGTTATAAAAGAATAATAACTTGGATAATGTAAAACCTTGAATTATATTTGATACCGGTTTCATTAAAATACAATGACAGTAAAATGATTAGATTAAATTTTGAATGCAACTCAGTAACACTTTTTGTGATCTGGGTACAAAGGAATTTAAAGAGTGTATTAGTAATTGTAGGATCAATTTCAAAATAAACTATTGAAAGAAATTCTTAATCTTCACTCTTCCATATCCCATGACATCTGAGTTTCTATTCTCCCTTTCAGATTCTTTTAACATCAAAGAAATTTGCTGAGACGTAACATGTAAACAATAGCTACATGTATTGATAAGCCACTGTATAAAGTATGAACCTTAAATTGCTAAAATATATTTGGAATGACCACTAGTGAAGCTCCTTCCATTTTTTCATAACTTTTAACAAATTTATCTAATACCATGAGTAAGTATTTGATGGACATGCTTATAATCAATTGAAAAAGGCAATTTTCTGGTTATTAGAATCTTGTTATGGTTACTTCTTTTCAATGGGCAGAAGTATACAGTTGTTTCAAATGGTTTGTGTATTATCATTTTTATTTCAAGTTCAAGCAAATGACAGAAATTAAACTTACTTATAAAGCCAATTAAATTGCTAGTTTTCATTCTATATTTTAGTGCCTAACAGGTTTGTTTTTTGTGTGTTCTAAAATGGATATTTGAAAGCTACATCAATTTTTATTTGAAGAAGTAACTTGTGGGAAAAATTAAGGCACAGCACAGTTACAGGTTTTACTTTGCTTGTGGTGTTTCCAATATGTGCTAATGACCTACACTGTTATTTTATTGCTTTTAATGGGAGGATTACTGCTCAAGTGGGTGTGAACTACAGCAATAAAACAATAAAGTTAGATAAAACAGGTATGAAAAGTTTAACTGTTGAAATTGTAAGAATAAAACGACCATTAATCCAGCAAAATGATGTATCTAAAGGAGAAGAAAAAATGTTTATTTTATACTGGGGGAAAACTTGTTCTTTGCACTCAAAACATTTTTTTTTGGTTGTGGTATTTTGTATTTATATGCATATAGTTTATAAAAATGCAAAGGCAATGCTGTGTATTTAAAGTAATGAAAATAGTTAAGAAAAGACTTTAAAAAAAAAGAAAAGAAAAATTCTACTGACATTTACCTTTGAGCTTCTTGCCTTCGTCTAAAATTTTCTTTCTGTTCCTCCAATTTCCTCTTTATAAGAGCATTTTGTAGAATTGACTGAGTATGTACAGCAAGTTCTTGGGGCGAAGGTACACGAGGGAGTACAGCAGCAGACTAATACAAATACAAGTAATTATCTGTGTGTCTGCAGTTGGATTACAAGTCAGAAGAGAGGCAAAAAACAAACAAATGACTACGTTCATATAGCAAACTCCTTGGAAGAAACAGAATAAAAGCAGATTAAGAAATGTAAGCAAATAACTCAGTCCATTCAACACGTTCCTTGTGTGAAAATACAACAGACACAATAAACAGCAGATGAAAACATAAACAACTGACCAAGCAAGGACATACATGACACAATAGGAACTGATTAACTGTGCCTGGGCTTGGTTCAACACCATATTGAAGAATGAGTGTATTATACACTATTCTACCAAAAGTCATGGGTAGTTATGTATAAAACATGTCATTATTACTTAATAGCGTGTTGGCCTGACTTGATAACTACTTCAATGTGTTGTGGAAGACTGTCTACTAATTTCTGGTAGAAAGCTGGTGGTATTGTGCTCCAATCCTCCTTTAAAGCATTACTAAGCTTCACTACTAAAGAGAGCCGTCTTGGCTTTGCCCTAATTCTGTGTTCCAGTTCATCCCAAAGATGTTCTATCCAGTTGAGGTCAGGGCACTGCAATGTTCCAGTGTTATTCTCTTCAAAACATGCATTCATAATCCTTGATTTATGAACATGGAGCATTATCATGTTGGAAGGGCCAGTACCATAAAATTGCCACATTGTAGGCCACACATCAATGTAGCACTCAGCATTCATGGATCCATGCACTACAACCAGTGGACCTAGTCCATACCACGAGATGCACCTCTAAACTTCACTGTTGTCCCAAAAGTGAAGGCAATAAGCATCCTCCATACCCAAACACATCCATCAGACTGGAAGAGCTTGTAGCGTGACTCGTCGCTCCACAGAACCAGCTTCCATTGATCCAGATTCAGTGGGCCTTGCCCCATGCCAATCGACAGTGTGCATTTCTTTTGGTATCAATGGCTTGTGGGCTGCAGGTCTTCCATCAGCTCCTGTCAGTCAGTATTTTACACCGACCTGATCATTTCTTAGGCTCATTGTCACCTGTGGACTTCCATTTCTTCAGCCAGTTGTTGACCTGGTAATGTTTCATTGTTGCCCAATAGCACGTAAAGACATTTTCCCCAAATGAAATCCAACTATCTTTCCCCTCTGAAACTTTGTTAGCTCTTTCCGTGTAATCATTCTTCAGCATACAAGTTTGAAATGACTTCCGAGGAAACCAATGAGCACCTTTATAGACTAAACTATTTGCATATTTTGTCTTCACACCCATTTTCCTGCAATCAGAGGTGTGTCCCACGACTTTTGGTAGGATAGTGTATTTCTGAAACTACTAGATGTATCTTCATGAGATTTGGAAAGCTTTTAGTAAATGTTAAAAGTGTTGTACACAAAAATCAAAATTTTTAATAATGTATTTCTACTAAAGGTTTACATGTGAATTTTTGAATCCTACTAAATCAGTGTGACACAAACTCTGACTAGCCTGAGTAAAAGGTGATTTTCATGTTAAGAATAAAAATACTTTTTCATCTTATGCTTTTCATACTTCATTTGCATAACCCTCTAGAACCTAGTAAGTGAATATCAAAAGCTTTTTCCTGAATTTTCAGTAAAACTATGTATTTTATCCTAATGCTAACTGTAGCAAAATAAACAATGCGAGTCAAAATATAAAGTTGAAAAATTTATATAATTAAAAGAGTAACAAGTGTGTGTGTGTGTGTGTGCTTGGAAAGATTTGTAAATTTTATAAAACAATGCAAAAATGAAATTAAGAATAGGGAAATATGAAAAATGTCACCATATGCATAAAGAAGAAGTGGGTGTAGATAGTACTGTGCATTGAAAAAGGAAAGGTATTTGGGGAATAGATCTGTCATCCATAACAGCCCTACCTCAGATAGAAGTGTTTATGTGTTAAGGTTTCATGTGAGAATTACTTCATTTGTTCATAGATACAGAGTACCAGTACCGTCATCCAGCTGACTTTAGGTTTGGCCTTGCAGTTATCGAGATGTCCTGCACAACCATCAGCTTCGCTCAGAACTCTATGGTACCCAACCTCTTACATTAGTCTAGGCAGGTTACAATAAAATTTTAAATGCGAGTCAACAAACGTGGTGACATGGACTTTAACCCATGACCTGTCTGTATTGGTATTGGGAGGTATTTTACAGCATATTAACTGTACTGGAATTAGAAAGTATTCTGTAGCATAATACACATTAACTGTATTAGAATTGAAGATACTTAGTAAAATAGTAAGGTTAATGAATTGATACTTGAAGGTATTTAAGTCACAAAATTTCAACTCTAGGGTCCACTAATATTGAGCTGAATGTGCTATATAATTCTTCAATCTCACATTTGTTACAAAATGTCAACTACTATTTCATGAATTTATGTCAGTAAGTTTGGTATCAAACTGTAGATTATAATTAAAACTTTAGTATTATACCTTACTCAGTTTCTTAATTTAAAAGTAAATATTAAAAAAACACACCTAAACATTGAATTTTTGTCACATGGTATGTTGAATGCAGCACTTGTTCAAATTAGATAATTGTGATGTCAAAATACTAAGTCTATAGTTTTGTACGAATTAGGAACTCAAATTACCTATTTTCTAAGATATCACTCGTGCTGAATCAAACACAGTGGCCCTACTCACCTCTTTCCATTTTTGTAAACGGTCCCTTATACAGACTTACTTCAATATATGACGTGAATAACTAATCGAAAAGCTCAGAATGTCCCCCTAGTGGCTTTCCCAGCTATTTTCATGTGTTAGCACACCATCTCATTCTTTCGAACCAAGATTTCAAGGAGGTAGGTTGTGTCTTTAGTCTGTTCGAAATTTCATATTTTTTTAGACCTAAATACAGCTTAGTTACTAAGCTTGGTAAATTATAGTGGAATTCTGTGGTATCGATATAGTAATTTATGCTTTTTTTGGTTATTCAACTGTATATATGTAAGCCTTAAAAATATTTTGTTTCATATCCCCCACGTGCAAAATTTTAAAAGGCTTAGTAACCTAAGTCAAGTAGCAACTGATTAAAATGGTCATAACTAGAAGAGGTATTTGTTTACTTTACTTCTTTATTTACTGTTCTGTGTTTTAAGAAAAATAAGTTTAAGAACAACTTATTTCTAAATAGTAATGATGTATATACATATATAATGTACAATAATTGAAATGTGACTATTTTACAAAACACTAGTCTACTAAAACACAGCCAAGACAAGTCACTTTGTAAAGACTAAAGGTCAGTTTTATATTATTGGATATGATAACATGAGAGCATGTGCGCTGTGTCATTGTAATTTCTGTATTGTTAGCCAGGCACGGTTGAAAGGTCAACATAATAAAAATAATAAATATATACAT